TATAATACATATATAATACATAGTTTTACATGTAATAGGTGCGCGCGCGCGCCGTTTCACAGATGGGGGAGGGGGGGGGGTGTTAAATCTTTGGTTTACCTTTCACCACCCTCTTCCCTGGCCGGATGAAAGGGTAGAGAGCGGGAGGGGGAGAGGGGAGAGGGGGGAAGGGGAGAGGGGGGCAGATCAAAGATGCTAGTCACATGTACGCACAAGTCGGAACAAGTCATGACGATGAGAGAACGGCAGAGAATGGCCAAGAAGGAGGTACGGTCGATAGGTAATGTTAGAACCAAGGATGGACAGTGACGAAGAGAGATGAATGGGAAACGAATGAGGTGGTTGAATGTGAGTGAATGCAATTATGAAGAGCATCCGTCGACGAACCAATTGGGAGTCTACGATAAGAATCGTCTTCTGCTGTGTATTCTTCGTACTGCTACATATAGACTACATATATACGTATTATTGGGCACTGGGCATTGCTACGAGTCGTAGGACGAGAAGGAACGCTCCTCTTTCTCTTCTGACTCCTGCGCAATAGGCTGGGCCATCGGTTCGTAAGCGCCTTGCTTTCGTTGGCTACAGCTTCGACTGACTACGAGTACATGTACACTACGGGTAGTGTATTCACTACGGTCAATCGGAATGAGATATGAGAATTAATATACTAATATTACCGCGTCAACCATCTGCTGGATCGGGAATTCTGGGGAATGACGGGGGGGGGGAGGAGGAGGGGGAGGGGTATCCGATTGATCTTCCCACATGGCAATGCTGATGGGATCGGGGTAGGCATATATCAACATTACATATATTAGCACCTCCGGGAGGAGAGTAGGAGATGAACAGACGAGGGTAGAACAGCCAAGGAAAGAACAGTTGCCGGCAAGAAAGGTATATGGCACGACATCATCATCTGGTATGGATGGCACCAACATGGCACCGACATGGCACATAATACTATTGCATGAGATGAGATGAGCCAAGAGCAACCTTGTTGAGAAGAAACGGCCACGAGGGGAGGAGGAGGAAAGAGAGGGGGGGTGGGGGGTGGCTGGGTTTGTTCTCGTCTACTATCCTGAGACCATCAGTCCCGTGTCCTGATTCCCTTATCCCTGGAGATTACTATTACCCCTCCAAGCATTTGATAGCTGTACGTACACTATCATCCCCCCTTCCTCGATATCGCAAAGCACATGCTTTTTCATCATGGGCTGATATGGCCTGCGCCACGTAATGTCCTGTAATGCAGGACCATAAAGCTCACGTCATTCTTCTTGTTCTGTTCTTGTGTCGCAATGTGCGATAGAGTCCTCGAAAGTTAGAGGAAGAAGACAGACAAGGATAAGAAAGAAGGTATTCACTACTGATACATGAAACATAGATAATGATACTACGGCGAGTATTGATGTATACGTAGACCTTGTAGAGAAGAGAAGGACAGGCGTACAGCAGCGATACGTCTATATATTATTGTATTGATGCGTAATTGTATAATACCAAGTTCAAGAGTCGGTTTATGCTATGCTACCCCCCTTTCGGCCGAGTGGTAACGGTGTAATATTGTGCGTCGGCAGGCTCCTCCCTAACAAGGTCACTCTGCAACTCACACCTGCCGATATGATGCTGCGCACCGACCCGAAAGCGGAAGGATAAGTTGATTGATCGAGTAACAGGAAGGAAGTGATTCTTCTCTTTCCTTCCTGCTACGATCTTTCTATGGTGAGGATATATGCGTCCGGCAAATTGTTCCGCCGGACCCGTAGGTCACGGGATCCACACTATTTAGCAACCGACCCCACGCCCCGTCTATACGCTTTACTCGACAGAGACGGCCGATCTGAACGGTCAGCATCAAGTCTGCGACTCGGGCCGGATTCGAAGAGAGGAAACCGGGAGTCGAGAACTCGAGGACTGAAGAAGAGATGAAGTCGTGGGAGGACATCACCTCAAAACCTTGTCGCTGCTTGTCTTGTCACTGCTTGTTGACCGTGTTCGGGGCCGGCCGGCGGTTGGGCCATGTCGATTTCGTCGTTCGTTGTATCACAACTTGCGAGTACAGAGTGTCGTATGTGGGTGTGGCGGTATGTATTACGGAGTATCAATACTCACAGAGTCGAAGCCATACTCTGCCACATGCAATCTGTACCGCTACCGCTATTGCTACACGGCGTTTCCGCTGATGGAGTCGTCATTATTCCCCTAGTAGCGTTTATTGTACGTTATCATCCATCATCTGTCTCACGAACCGGGCCGGCCATTTTCTTCCTCTCTCTCCTTTCCCTTCTTTTTTTCTTCAGCTTTATATATATATATGTGTGCGTGTGTGCGTGCGTGTGTGTGTGTGTGTGCGTGTATCTCATTGCGGCAGTTCCTGATCATCAGTCACGCCTCTTCACCATGACTGTTTCGTAATGAGAAGGAGCGAGAGAGAGAGAGAGAGAGAGAGAGAGAGCATGTAGCATAGGAATGACATTCCTACGTAAGACATCAAGAGACCATGCTTTATTCCGAGACTCGCCTACTCCGTACGAAATGATATTAATAGACGTCGTCACGACCGTCATACGTATCGGGCAATGCGGTTTGTCGTGTTGAAAATAATGCTGGTACTCGGCAAACCCCACCGTATGTTCGTACTCGCACGTACTCGTACCCCGCCAAAAAAAAGAAAAAGGGAGCAAAAAAAAAAATAGCACATCTGCTGATGCTGTGGACTCTATTCCTTGCCACTAGACTCCGTTTGTATCATGTGCTGCGCCTTCTCGGCATAACCGCACGAGAGTCACTAGTAATAATAAATGATAATATTACCTCTCTGAAATGGCCCAGCGATAATTATTGCGAGAGAGAGAGAGAGAGGGAGAGGGAGGGAGAAGGAAGGAAAGAAAGAACAGAAAGAAAAGTGGTATTTTTGGTGACTGTCGCTTCATCCTTGCCCCCTCCCCTCTCTTAGTAGAGATATCAGTCTGAGGCAGTTATGATCGCGGGACTAGGTTACGAGGCTGAAATATGGAACCAGCCCAGATGCAGGAGACCGTCTATCATGACTTGGGACTGACTGGTACGTATTGCTATTATGTACATGACGGGGGATTTCTTGCCCACCGTTTTTTCTTCTTCTTTGATTTTCCCTTTCTGATCATATTGATCCATCTGTTGGGGGGCCGACCGGATCAGATATATTCGGTCACTTGCGCTTGTCTCGCACCTTCGGGCGGTGGGTGCGGAGGAATTAGCGGACCGCCAGTCACCGGGGCAGAGGCGCTGGGGTTGGTCGGTCGCTTCAGTCCTTCAGGCTGTTGGAGCTCCTACTCACCCATACTGATACGAGTACTAATACAGGAACACAGAGCACAGAACAAGCAATACAGACGAATACTGCTACTATCACTGACGAAGACATAATGAAAAGGATTGAAAAAAATAAACGTTCACCTATATTGTATCCCGTAAACTTTCTTTAGATGATTACGGGAAAGAAAATAATAAGAGGCGGCCCGGAAAGTCGATCAATCAAATCGGTTGGCCATTAACGTCCACATGAGTCGATTGTGTGGGAGAGAAAAAAAAAAAGACGTGGGAGGTTAAAGCCCCACCCGTCCTCGGCCGACCGCCCTGCGAGAAGAATTTACAGGCCGCACACCCAACTGGTCCAGTGGGTGCAACCCCTGCATGTGCCTTATCTCTGGCCACCCAAGGGTCTCCCGTATGCAGCGGTACATGCGCCACTGGTCCTCTGGTACTGTACCTTTAACCTTCCTCGGCTACTACTAGGAAGTATTTTTTCTTCTTTGTTTGTTCTTGTTCTTCGTGACCTCTCTTTTTTTTCCTTCTTTTTTTTTTTCCTCCCCCCCCTTTTCTTCTTCTTTTTTTCTTGCTACTATCCGTTAGATTTTTTTTGAGGGACTCGCGTGCTGATTTAAAAACCTCAGTCCTCCCTGCCCCCCTCTACACCCCCCCTCCTCTCCTCTTTAAACCCCACGCCTTCTATTTAATTCTTGGTGATAGCTTCGGCCCCAAAAGCCAGCTTCATCCATTTTATTTTTTCCTCGTTCTTTCTTTCCTCTATCCTTCTTTCCTACCCTCTCCCTCACACAACCACCTCAACACCGCCATCATGGTGAGTTCTATCTCCCTCCCCCCCTGCAGTGTTGCTGATGCACACATTTTTCTCTAAAAAAGAAAAGGAGAAAATAAAACGATACCACTCGAAATGCTGACGATGCGAATCATTGCAGACAAACTCCGACGCCTTCAGCTCCAAGACGGAGAACGTAAGTAGTCGTTCTACACAAACAATCGAACGATAGAATCAGTCACAGCTGCTGACGTTCCTCTTCCACTATACAGCTGGCCAAGTACCTCAAGCTTGACCAGAGGGGCAAGATCATGGCCGAGTACGTCTGGATCGATGCCGACGGCGAGACTCGCTCCAAGTCCAGGGTGAGTTCGATTTCCCACTCTCGTTACATTTGCAGTCATGGATGGAGAAATGTTTCCCTCCGACTCAATCTCCCTCCTCCTCTCTCTTATATGCTTGGCCGACGTCAAATGCACTTTCTCTGCGCTCTGAGTGGTAGGGCCGTCGGCACACACACACACACACACACACACACACACACACATGCACAAACGCACCATGCACACCTGCTAGGATCTGGCTGTGGACAAGGGTGTTCTTGAAACTGGCAGCAATCGCTGTCAGTAGCCGTTCAGCCTTGCAAAAATCTTTAGAGGGAAGGAGGTGTCGTACCACTGTGCACTGTGCACCGTGCACTGGCCTGCCAACGCAAGCGGTGCCCAGCGGGCGTGTGTGTGTGTGTGTGTGTGTGTGTGTATGTGGCCGATGTCGCGCCGCCTTTTTGCGTGCCATAGACCCCTCAGCCCCTCATACGACGCACAGAGGTCGGTGTGGACCTCGTTGTGGGTCATTCAGTGGTCGTCGACCATTCCGCACCGCTCCTTGGCCCTTTCTTCACCCGCATTTGGCTCGGTTTCGGTCACAGCCAATCTCCACGGGACTCGGTGACTTTTGTCTACGACGAGAAAGAGAGAGAGTGAGAGAGAGATGGGATGGCGGGACATGACTTTGACACGATGACCATACATCATCTCCATCATATCTTGATGCCAGCCACAATGGGCGCACAGCTCGACTGACATCTTGGCAGACTCTCGATGAGAAGGACTGGAAGCCCACGGAGCTCCCTATCTGGAACTTTGACGGTTCATCAACCAACCAGGCCCCCGGCGACAACTCAGACGTCTACCTCCGCCCCTGCGCCGTCTTCCCTGATCCTTTCCGCGGTGCCCCCAACATCATCGTCCTGTCCGAGTGCTGGATGGCGGATGGCACTCCCAACAAGTACAACTTCCGCCATGAGTGTGCCAAGGTTATGGAGGCCTACGCCGACCATGCCCCCTGGTTCGGTCTTGAGCAGGAGTACACCCTCCTCGACCTCGACAACCGCCCCTTTGGCTGGCCCCCCGGCGGTTTCCCCGCCCCGTACGTTCACACCCGTCCCTGCTCACAATTTCTCGGCAGTCACGTCTGCCTCACCGAAGTTCTGTACTGACAAACCCACAGTCAGGGCCCTTACTACTGCGGTGTCGGTGCTGGCAAGGTTGTCCAGCGTGACATCGTCGAGGCTCACTACAAGGCCTGCCTGTACGCTGGCGTCAAGATCTCCGGTACCAACGCCGAGGTGATGCCGGCCCAGTGGGAGTTCCAGGTCGGCCCCTGTGAGGGCATCGAGATGGGCGACCACCTCTGGATCTCGCGTTTCTTCCTCGCCCGCATTGCCGAGGACTTTGGCGCCAAGGTCTCGTGGCACCCTAAGCCCATCCCCGGCGACTGGAACGGTGCCGGTCTCCACTCCAACATGTCGACGAAGGAGATGCGCGAGGAGGGCGGCATGGTGCACATCGAAGCCGCTCTCAAGAAGCTGGAGCCTCACCACCTCGAGTGCATCAAGGAGTACGGCGACGACAACGAGCTCCGCCTTACCGGCAGGCACGAGACTGGCTCGATCGACAAGTTCACCTGGGGTGTCGCCAACCGCGGCTGCTCGATCCGCGTGCCCCGCGAGACTGCCGCCAAGGGCTACGGTTACTTTGAGGACCGTCGCCCCGCCTCCAACGCCGACCCTTACCGTGTCACCAGGGTTCTGATGACATCGATTTTCGGCAAGCTGTAAATTGACGTGAAATGATTTTTCTATTTTTTCCTTTTTGTTATTTCCTTTTTTTCTTCTCGCTATACTAGCTGCTGCCGACGGGTAGGTAGCATATTACGAACCATCTGGGAGCGCCTCTTTTCTTGATGGAGAAATAAGAGAGTGGAAAGAAGCCTTTTTTTTTTTTTTTACGCCACAACCTTTTGGAAGGGGAGAAGGGGTCGATTGAATGAGATGACGCCGACTTTCTCGGAGGGACTCCGACGCCCCTAGCCGGGGAAAGTTGGAGGCAATATTGCCAACAGCTTCAACGAGCTACTACTTTTTTTGTTTTCATCTGGAGGAGACGGGGAGCCGATGTTGTTTCTTCATGAATAAGACATATCGTCCTTTACTCTTCTCGCGAAGACCTCTTCTAACTAACCTAATCCGTATGAGCAGGATTGACGGGAAGCAACTATTTTCATTATCAACTATACTAATGCCAACACTCGACCGACAACTAAACAACCAAGAAGAATATAGGGAAAGAGAGAGAATACAGGGAAAATAGCATGACGCAACAACAAGTCAACAGGAACAACCTTTGCGGCCCGGGGAGAATGAGAGGAATAAGGGGAATGATCCTCTTGTTGAATCATTCGTTCCCCTCGTAGCCTTTTTTTTTTTTTCGCAGTCACGAACCACCCAACATCTGCAGAGTCCCGCAGACTGACAACGCAGCTGAAGAGCAAATGAGAAGAAAATACAAATGCTTGTTTCTACCCTTTATCGCACGACCTTGTGTTCCCTTGTGATGACTTGTTCCCTTGACACCCTTGGAAGGGGGGGCGGGTGTTTGCCTTGCAATAGATGGACCTCTGCCCTTTTGATCTTGAAACGGAAAGGGGATGACGCTGTTACGAGAAGGATCTCTTTTGCCCTTTTGATCTTGAAACGGAAGGAGACGGCATTGTACGGCAAGGGAAACAAAAGAAAGTTGAAATCTTCCTGCGTTGTCTGCAAACGGAAGTGACAAACGGAAGTGACAACAAAGGGGGGTGGGGAGGGGGGGTTGTGAAGGATTCGCCGTTTTTATTATTATTTTTATCCTCTTCCTCCTCTTTTCCTCCTTCCCTTTTCTCTTTTCTTCTTTTTCTCATGTCTGTTCCGGAGAAGGATGGAGAGACATGCATACATTATCGTAACTAGGGCAGCGAGCGAGCGTATAGATGAGGCAAAAGGGGGGAGTTTCTGATCGACGCTTCTTTCCCTTGTCCCTGCCTAGGATGAGACGTCTTCTCCTTGTTCTTTTTTTTTTCCCTTTCCGGAAAGGAGTTAACAAAGGCTTGGCAGGGTGCGATTGGTGAAGGTGTGTGTCTTGGATATGATAATGTATAATGATTGCCCTTGCGTCACGGGAAGGATGGGGGTTACAGGTACGATTACTACGAGTAGATGGGGGCTGCGCAAGTAGTCATCTACAGAGGAGAAGAAGGAGAAGAATTACCAGATCCGGCGTTTGTGAAAGAGAGGTAAAATCTATGAAATAAAAGGAAGTCACTGCTACGTGTATTTCGAGAAGAAGCCCCTTTTTGCTGTATCTGATGCGTTGTTTAAAAGTACGGAGCACATACGAGAGTATAGTGATATGCCTGAAGGGTATGCCTGAAGGGTTGTGGGACGGGACTTTTCAAGGGGGAGAAGATCTAGATAGGGCAGAGGGTGACGGACGGGGTCGGTGCCACGTATCGTAATTTATTACCGAATGTATGGATCACGAGCAAAGCAAGCAGGACAAAAGTAAAACGTAGGCAACGCATTGGTAGACGTGATCGGACCCTTACCCCTTCCCCTCCCCCCTCTCTTGTCGAGACCTGATCGGTTTCCGGGGGGGGGGGGGGGGGGGGGGCAAAAGTGGCCGTGATGACAAAAATTGGTAGTATCATCACTCCGTAACAATGTTACTACCTTGACCATGTCTTGAAACCCCGGACACGATGGTGCAACTGTCAACAGGGGATTGAAGAGAGCGAAAAAAAAGAAAGTGCACCCTCTTTACAGACCCGTCCGCTATGGTCAATGCCGTAAGACAGAGCGTTTTTGTGTGTGTGTTTGTGTTTTTCTCTTTCTTTTACGATGGAGAAGGAAGACACGAGGAGAGAAGAAAATAGATACGATAAAAAGTTCTCAAGGTGGAGAAACAAACAATCGGGTTGTACAGGGTGTTGAACAAAGAAAACTAGACTATCTATACAAAGGATTGAAAGAGAAGGAAGAGGACGTAAAGCAAGTAGTTTTGTTCTGCCATGGCGTTGGTTCTGGTGCTGGTGCTGGTGCTGGTGCTGGTGCTGTTGTTGGTGCTGGTGTTGTTGGGTGAGTGGGGATTTATTTATGAAAGGGGTTTGGGACTTTTTAGCAATGGAGCGAATGGATCTTGAGAGTATCATTTATTATTAATACGTCGTAGCAAAAGACGGGACTACGATGAGGATGAGGAAGAGGAAAGAGGGGGTGAGAGAGGAGGAAGAAGGGAAAGATATAAGGGGAAGAAAAGAAGAGGAAAGAACGAAGGAAGAGAAAAGTTTTACTGTGATGAAAAAAAAAAGGCGTTACGACGTAGTAAGAAGGACAGGAAGACGTACGGGGGAAGGAATAGACAAGAGAAGGAGAAGGAGAGAGAGAGAGAGAAAGGGAAGGGTCAAAGTGGGGGTGAGTCATGGCGTTGATGAGGGGGAGATGATGGTCTGACGCAAGGGAAACTCTTGTTCCTTCAAAGCGGTCGGAACTGATTATCGGGGATGATGCTGGGGGTTGTCCGTGTTTGGTTACGATCATTACACGTCCGTGTTCCGGGGTTCATGCGAAGTTTGGATTTGGTAATGATAGAATTCGCCCTCTACGGAGAATGATACAATCAGATGGTAGATAAGATGGTCTGGTGAGATGGTTGATATGACATGTGACATACTCTGCCTGACGTGGGAAATGATGATGACACATCCTGACTTTTACTGTGAGCTGGAATAAGCTGATGATGGGGGGTCGAAAGAGACTGATGATACTAATAAATAATGCTATTGCCTACCTACCTACCTACCTACCTACCTACCTAGTGTTAGCAGAGAGGCTTTTTTTTTTTTTGGGGGGGGGGGAAGGCACGCGTCTGCATTGTTTTTTTTTCTTTCTTTCTTTCCTTCTTCCTTCTTCTTTTCAGTGAAATATATATATAGCTGTATTTTACTGAGACTATTAGCATGCAATGATACGTAGCAGATGAGGAATGAATGGTTGGCTGTCGGTTCTCATTCTGTCTTCTTGACTCTCTCTCTCTCTCTCTCTCTCTCTCTCTCTCTTTTGGCTACTGATAGCTGGCACTGATGATTAACACGACGTCTACGTTCCCCGTCTGTCGTCATGCAGCATTATTATATCATAGAAACACCCGTGCCATGTCAAGGTAGACGTCTACTACATCGGATCTGAATTCTTCCATCACGACATTTTGTCCTGTTTCCTGCTTTCCGTGGTCCTCTCTTCACACAGAGAATACAGAGAATACAGAGAATACAGAGAATACAGAGAATACAGAGAATACAGAGAATACAGAGAATACAGAGAATACAGAGAATACAGAGGATACCCATATTAATTTAATGAATATCCATACCCATACCCGTATCCACGAGACTCGAGAGGACAAAA